TCGGCGCACGGCCCCCCCCGCCCCCCCTGCCTCTTCCCCCCGGTGTCCTTCTCCCGCAGTCCCTGCTCAGTCATGCAGGCCCCTCTGCTGCCCCACAGCCAGCTGCAACAGTGGGGCGGCATTGACCTCCCCTGAGCCAGAAGTTTTCCGGATTCCCAAGGATGCTGGGTCAGAGAGGTACAACCTGAACTGCCTGACTCAACTCCACCAACACCGAGAAAACTCAGTGGAAAGAGCTAGACAAGATCGAAAAGCCCGTCTGGCCCAGTTCCCCAACACCCCCCCCCTGGATGCGCCGGAGCTGCCGGAGGTTCTGGTCCAGGAGGAAGCAGTAGCCGTTCAGGTGCATGTTCTCCCCACAGGCCCGGTGCACCGTGGGGCCGCAGGCCTGGGGCACGAGAGAGGGACGAGGTCACTGGGTACCCCTGAGGAGAGCACTGTGGGGTAGGGGGAGTCTGCTCCCTCAATGGTATGCAGGAAAAGATCCTGCTGGGTCAGGGACCCCCCAGGGGAAAACAGGACCCAGGACTCAGCATCCAACTCCCAGCGTCACCTGGCTACCACACTCCCTTCTATGGTTGTGCCCAATTACTATGACATCACCCAGATACCCCCATTTGTTACCAAGTCATCGCACAGTCACTATCCCCACGGAGACCTCACCCGGTTACCCCCATCCCTCACAACATCAAGTCTCATGCCACCTGGATATCCTCTTCCCCAATGATACATTGCCCCCTTCTGGGTCCCCCTCCCTCCCCCCAAGAAAAACCCAATCCCACTGTGACTGTTGTCAAAGCGACATTATCTAGTTACCACCTTCTGCACAGCGTCCTGGCACAGTCATTCTAGCAGTTAGAACCTGCCTACACATGCATTGTTATTCGCCCCTCACCATGGTAACAAAGTCGTGTTCCGGTGAGATTGACACGAGCAGACAGAGTCTGTAGTTGTGGTCAGATCATTGGCTCTTGAGATAGGGGCCTGTGTCACCCGGCCATGAATTTCCTGGGGAGAGCCGCACAGAGGGGCTCACACCCTTTGGTACCATCACCCCCTCGGGGAGGGAGCACAGTCACTCTGCACTGCCGGGAGGTCGTCAGGTTGGTTCCTTCTCTACGATGTCCCTGCGCTGACATTTCAGCCCACACCCACTGCTGGGGGGAGGAGAACAACCCATAGACCGAGCCCCTGCCCCCCTCTGGAGTACCCACCAGGAGCTGAGAGCCATGGGCAGCCAGGGACAGTCCGAGGGACATGTTCACCGCGTCCAGGGGCCCTGCGAGGGGAAACGCGCCAGCACCAGGGTAAGAAACCTTGTGGATGAATGTGGTTAGCCCTGCACGTCTGAGTCAGTTCACCCTCCCCGCCGTTGGCTATACCCTTCACGGTAGGGCAATGAAGGCAAATTGTTGCAAATCCCTTCCCCCCCACCTAGTTGCATGGAAATAGAACCCAGGAGTCCGGCTTCCAGCCTCCCCCGCTCACCCCGCCAGAGCTTCCTCCCCTCCCAGGGCCTGGGATGGACCCCGGTAGCCCCAGCTCCCAGCCTGCCCGTGCTGCCCCACCGCACCCCACAGCGCAGGACCATACTCTGGATGGGGATCTCCTGGCAATGTTGGGAGCCCACGTCGCACGTGTAGACTTTGCCGGTTTCATTCACGTTTCCCGTCTGCAGCGGGGCCCCGACAATCAGCCTGCAGGGAGAAATAGGGAGGGATCAGAGCCCCCCACCTCTGCTGGGTGGTGCAGCCCAGCCAGGCAGGTCCCTCAGGGGCTGTGGTGCTGCAACAATCTCTGGGATGGGGGTGCTGAGCTGTGCCCCCCCTTACACCTGTCTATGCCCCTCCCTGCCCCCAGCTAGGGACAGATGGGGAGATCTGGGCCAGGCACAGAGCCCCAGGCAAGGGGCTGGCAGCAGCAGGGGGGACCAGCAGTCTGGTCCCTGGGTCTGAGCACAGATCCTGGGGCTGGGAGCCCAGGCAGCAGGGGAGTCCTTGGGCATGGGGTAGTGGTGGGAATCCCGGCCCGGGATCAGTGGCAGATACACCAGGCACAAAACTGGGAGGTGCTGCAGCATCACCCCCATGCTCCTACTTCCCGCTCCTCTGTCCGGGATGGGTGTGAGCAGGGGCCCAGGGTGCCCTGGCATCAGGAATATTCCTGGCCCAGAGCCAGGCTCCAGCCAAACTGGCCACCTTGTGCATCCCTCTCCTGTGCCTTCCCTGAGCCCCCTGCCATCCCCACTCAGCCCTGCCCCTGCCACCATCTGCAGTGCAGTGGGGCTAGAGTGCCTTCCTGCTGCTGACTCCCCATGGCTGCTGGCAGTGGTTGGTGGGGAGCTGCGGGCATTTAATGTCACCCAGGGGCAGCAGGAAGAGCAAGAGGATGTGGGGGGGGAGGGGAGCGTGGGGACAGCAGCCTCCAAAAGACCCCCGGTCTCCCAGGAGCCACTGCCAGAGGGGGGTGCCCCAGGTAAGTGTCACCCCTCCCCCTTCCCCACACTTCCTCACATGCCCCACTCTCCCTAGAGCCTGCACCCTCTTCCCCCTACCTTCTACCCCCGAACTGCTTCCCTCCTTCTGCCCCAAATCTCCCTCCCAGAGCCTGCACCAGCTGCCCCAGGTCAAAGCGAGCACCCAGACTCCAGCCCAAAGGCTGCACCTGACCCGTGAGACCCGCCCTTCATCCTCCCTGCACCCAAACTCCTTCCCAGAGCCTGCACCCCTCCTCCACCCCAATTCACTCCCAGAGCCTTAGGCAGCTTGTGGGGGGAAGGAAGAGTTTGGAGTTTGGGGGGAGGGGGCATAGGCTGTGGCCCTTCTGGCACCGCCAACATTTCTAGAAACCTGCCACCCCGGAGTGGGAGGCCTGTAACTGGGCCCCTCTGAGCCCAAGTTCTGCCCTTACCCCCCAGCACTGGCCTGCATCACGCTCTGCCCGAACCCCGCGGCTGCCCCCTGGAAGGTGATGGGTCCGTCCACGTCCACGCTGAATCCACGGCTGGGGGCCAGCGCTGCAGGGGGGGAAGCAGTCACAGATTACAGCTTTCCCCGGGGAGCGGAGGCCAGTGGGGGCTGAGGGGCCTGCCCCTCCTGGCTGTGGGACTGACTCCCAGCCCCCCCGGCTCTGCAGCCCTCTCTTCCCCTCCCCAAGTTGGGAACAGGAGCCCTGAGAACCCAGCTGCTCCTATTCCCCCACTGCTGTGGGTCCCCCCTCGCCCTGCCCCGCCGGTGGGCATCTCACCGGTGCACAGGCAGAGGAGTGGAAGCCAGGGGTCCATTCCCAGTGAGAGGGGGGTTGACTTCTGGGTGTGAGGAGAGCTGAGTGCCAAGCAGGGAAACTGAGAGTGGGAGGCCGGCCCTTGGGAGGGGACAGGACTCCAGCCAATGAGAAAACGCTCCCGGGAGAGACACTCAGACATTGGAAGCCCTTGGTGGGCAAAGAACTAGTTAGGAACTAAATAGATAGAAAACCGCTAAATGTACATAAATCCATGGGTTCAGATTTAATGCATCCAAGGGTACTGAGGGAGTTGGCAAATGTCATTGAGGAGCCTTTGGCCATTATCTTTGTAAAGTCGTGGAGATCGGGAGAGATCCCAGATGATTGGAAAAAGGCAAATGCAGTGCCCACCTCCAAAAAAGGGAAGAAGGACAATCCAGGGAACTGTAGACCGGTCAGTCTTACCTCAGTCCCCGGAAATATCATGGAGGGGATCCTCAAGGAATCCATTTTGAGGCACTTGGAAGAGGGGAAAGTGATCAGGAATAGTCAACATTTTGTGGGGTCGTTTGTTCACATGGAGGCACTTTGCAACAAACCAACGTAGTGCCCATCTTCAAAAAAGGGAAGAAGGACGATCCAGGGAACTATAGGCCGGTCAGTCTTACCTCAGTCCCTGGAAAATCATGGAGGGGATCCTCAAGGAATTCATTTTGAGGCACTTGGAAGCGAGGAAAGTGATCAGGAATAGTCAACATGGATTCACGAAGGGCAAGTCATGACTGACCAATCTCATCAGCTTCTTTGATGAGGTAATTGGTTCTGTAGATATGGGAGTTATAACTTGACTTTAGCAAAACTTTTGTAGGTCTCCCACAATATTCTTGCAAAGCAAGTTAAGGGAGTATGGATTGGATAATGGACTATAAAATGGATAGACAGCTGGCTAGATAGTTGGGTCCAATGGGTAGTGATCAATGGCTCAATGTCTGTTTGGCGGTCTGTATCAAGTGGAGTGCTCCAAGAATTGCTTCTGGGGCTGGTTTTGTTCAACATCTTTACTAATGACTTGGATGAGGGGATGGATTGCACCCCCAGCAAGTTTGTGGATGACACTAAGCTAGGGGGAGAGGTAAATATTTTGGAAGGAAGAGATAGAGTCCAGAGTGACCTAGACAAATTGGAGGATTGGGCCAAAAGAAATCTGATGAGGGTCAACAAGGAGAAGTGCAGATCTCTGCACTTGGGATGGAAGAATCCAAAGCACTGCTACGGGCCGGGGACTGAATGGCTAAGTAACAGTTCAGCAGAAAAGGACCTGGGGATTACAGTGGACGAGAAGCTGGATAGGAGTCAACAGTGGGCCCTTGTAGCCAAGAAGGCTAATGACATATTAGGTTGCATTAAGAGGAGCATTGCCAGCAGTTCCAGAGATGTGATTATTCCCCTTTATTCGGCTCTGGTGAGGCCACATCTGGAGTATTGTGTCCAGTCCTGGACACCAATTACAGGAAGAATGTGGACACATTGGAGAGGGTCCAGCGGAGGGCAACCAAAATGATTAGGGTGCTGGAGCACATGACCTATGAGGAGAGACTGAGGGAGTTGGGTTTATTTAGTCTGCAGAAGAGAAGAGTGAGGGGGGATTTAATAGCAGCCTTCAACTTCCTGAGGGGAGATTCTAAAAAAGGCTGGAAAAAGGCTGTTCTCAGCAGTGAGGGACGGCAGAACAAGGAGCAATGGTCTCAAGTGGTGGTGGGAGAGGTCCAGGTTGGCTATTAGGAAGAACTATTTCCCTAGGAAGGTGGTGAAGCACTGGGATGGGTTCCCTAAGAAGGTGGTGGAATCTCCATCCCTAGAGGTGTTTCAGACTCGGCTTGACAAAGCCCTGGCTGGGTTGATTTAGTTGGGATTGGTCCTGCTTTAGGCAGGGGGCTGGACTTGATGACCTTCTGAGATCTCTTCCAGCTCTATGGATCTAGATCTATGAATCTAAGACACACCCCAGCGGCACTGACAGCCGGGTACCTGCAGAGCTGCACCAAGTCATAGGCGTACCCAGAGACACAGACCCCAAGCTCCACTGGGCTGCAGCAGAAAGCTAGTTGGGGTCAGAAATGAAGCTACGCTGAGCTGCTCCTGGAAGGGCCTTCAGGTCCCCACGTAGGCAAAGCTTTTCTGCCTCGCCACCCCTTGCCCTGATCCAGCTGGGCCCTGGCTCACCACACTGAGCGTAGGGACTCTCTTCACTAGGCCATTAAGCCGCTGCTAAACCCAGGTCAGAGCGTCCGCACAGGACAGCCGGGCTGGTCCCACTGCCACGGTTCTAGTTACACTGGGGCAACTTGTGTGTGTTGTCAATGCCAGCGAAAACGGCCCACTCAGCTTTACCACACACAGTGAGGCAGCTACACACTCAGATGTCAACGCAGCCCCCAGGAGGCCGCTACACACACAACCTGATACACATCTGTGATAAAAAAAAAATCCTCATACTGACCCACAGGGAAACAGCCACTCACAAAGCTGTATTAACCAGCTCAGAGAGAACCACATACACAACCACACAAATCTGTACTCAGACCTTCCCATTTACCCCCAAGGGTCCAGAAAACAAACACACACACACAACTTTTGAGATTTAGCCATTTTACCCTTTGGCAGCCAGGGAATAGCTTGGCTTATTAACAAAGACTTGTTGTATTGAACCAGTTGTACCTCAGCACTGTATAAACAGTCCCTGTGTCCCACCCCAGCGGCAGCTGCATTTCAGTGCTGGGTGAGGGATCCCTGTACAAATGCACAGCCTGGGTTGCGCTTGGTTTTGGGCAGGTCGAAAGGCATGCGGATATGAAAGACGGCCCCACTGAGTTTTTGGAAAGGGTACTAGGCTCTCTCTGTGGTTTCAACATTTCCCACTTTGCCAGGCTGGGCTAGTTCCGGGTGAGAATGGGGGTGGGAGTGCGTGGCACCTGGGCTGGGCTCTGCTTTTCCCTTAAAATGTCTATCTGCTGCTACCACCTTGGGTGTGGGTGAGCTGGGGTGGGGGCATTATGGGGACTGTTTGTATAGGGATCCCCAGTCGCCTCTGCGGTGGGGGCTGTATCACCCAGAACTGAGATGCAGCCGTTCCCAACTGACCACAGGGATCCCTCGCCTGGTGTGCCCTGCCTGGCTGGAGTCCTGTGGCCAGTTCCGGGCGCCACACTTCAAGAAGGATGTGGAGAAATTGGAGAAGGTCCAGAGAAGAGCAACAAGAATGATGAAAGGTCTAGAAAACAGGAAGTATGAAGGAAGAATGAAAGAACTGGGCTTGTTTAGTCAGGAAAGGAGAAGACTGAGAGGGGACATGATAGCAGCTCTCAGGGATCTAAAAGGGCGTCACAGGAAGGAGGGAGAGAAATTGTTCTCCTTGGCCTCTATGATAGGACAACAAGCAATGGGCTTAAACTGCAGAAAGGGAGGTTTAGGTTGGACATTAGGAAAAACTTCCTGCCTTTCAGGGTGGATAAACACTGGAATAAGTTGCCTGGGGAGGTAGTGGAATCACCTGTCAGGGATGAGCTAGAGGTGCAGTGGTGCCCAAAATTTTTGACATCACGCCTCCTTTTTGATTTTTAAGAAACCCTCATGCCCCCCCAAAAAAACTTTAGGGGAGAAATGACGGGGGGGACTGGGTCGCCCCGCACCCCACCTGGAATTTCTTCATGCCCCCCCAAGGGGCCATGTCCTCCAGTCTGGGACCCCATGAGGACGGTGCTTGGTCCTGCCGTGAGGGGAGGGGACTAGTCTTGGTGACCTCTCGAGGTCTCTTCCAGTTCTCTGGTTCTAGGACTGTGACTGTCTGTGACTGGTTCTGATATGCAGGCCCCTCTGGTGTGGAGTTCAGGGGTTATTTATAGTGGGATCCCATGCCTGATACTTAAATGCAGCTAGCTCTGGGGTGAGGCACAGCATGTGTGGATGCTGTACATTCCAGAAACTGCCTATATCTGGTATTCCTTTTGTAGCAGCTCTGCTTTCTCTCTCCACTGCTCTCTAGACCTCACCCACTCTGGCTTTTTTCTTATCAACCTCCATTTCTATATTTAAACTTCCCTTTTCTCCTCCCTGAAGGAAGGCAGAGCTGGCGCATGCAGGAGGATACTTCCAAGTCCTTGTCAGCACCATTACATTTGCGGTCGGGGCACTTCCCTCCTCTTAGTGCTGTCCAGCCAAAGCTGTTTTGGGGTGATAAAAGCAAACCCTCCAGCATGTGCTCCACTCAGACAAAGGCACAGAGGGGGATGAGCATAGAGCTCTACGGAGGGACAGAGGGAATGGTCAGAGGCTCACAAGAGCGAGCGCAGGCATGAGTTAGCGAAGAAGCAGTAGTGAATCCCGGGAGCAGAGATGGGCCGTAGTGTTGCATGCGTGGTCCCTGTGATCCTGATGTCTGAACTCCTCACAGTGTCTGGCAGAGTTAGCCTCACATCGCCCTGGAAGGGGAAGGCAAATGTCCCCATTGTACAGAGAGAGAAACCGAGGCATGGATGAAGTGACATGCCAGGAGTCACATGGCACAGCAGGAAGCTGACGTCCTGGCTTCCATGTCTGAAGCTGGCCCATGAGCCACTGGCCCATCCAGCTTCTGCAAAATTCATTAGGAGGCAGGATTTAGCTGACTGGCAGATTCCCTAGGGTGTGTCTACAGGACAGCGCGATTTCGAAATAACACGGCACGTGGCCACACAGCAAGCCCAGGATTTGGAAATTATTTCAAACAACAGGCTTCTTATTCCAGAATACTAAACCCGCATTCCATGCAGAATAACGCCCCTCTCAAAACTGCTATATCGAAACAGTGGTAGTGTGGACACTCCATGCCTGCTAATTCACAATAGCTCCTCCCCATGGCCATCATATATATAGTAGCCCAATGTCTGTGACTCTGTAATACCGAAATGCTGGCTGTTCCCTCTAGGTGGTTCTGTTGCCTCCTGCCGTGGCGCTCAGCTGACTTCTGCACCGCTCGGCCGGGCTGCCGCAGGGGAGCAAGCGGCACAAGCTGAATGAGTGGCGCAGAAGTCAGTCAAGCGCCACGGTGGAAGGGGAAGGGGGGCAGGGCGGTGACGTACATGACCCGCTACCATTCGCCTCCCGCCGTGGTGCTCAGCTGACCTCTGCGCTGCTCATCTGGCGTCTGGGCGGCGCTGTTGCTTAAATGCTGGCTGTTCCCTCTGGGGGGCGCTGTTGCTGAAATGCGGGCTGTTCCCTCTGGGGGGCACTGTTGCCTGAAATGCTGGCTGTTCCCTCTGGGCGGCCCATGCTGCATGGGGAGTGTGGGGCCCAAGCAGCAGCCCGGCTGAGCGGCGCAGAAGTCAGCCGAGCACTACGGCAGGAGGCGAAGGGGGGCGGGGCAGTGACGTGTGGCATGACAGTGGCTCCAGGCTCTGCCCCCGGCCGTGAATGTCACCGCCCGCCCCCCTTCACCTCCTGCATGGCGCTCAGCTGACTTCTGCGCCGCTCAGCCGGGCCGTCACGTGGGAGCAAGTGGCGCAAGCGACCGTTTGGGCTCCGAGGTCCCCCGAGTGAGAGGCAGGAGAGGACGGAGAAGAGAGAGAGAGAGAGAGGCAGGAGGCGGAGGAGAGCTGATGGGAGGGGAGGCAGGAGGAGGAGAGAGAGAGAGACAGAGCGAGAGACTGGAGGCTCAGGAGAGAAGGCTGTCGTGGAGGAGAGACTTGAAAATCCCATCTTATGACGGGCTAATTGGCTAGTTCTAAATAATGACTCCTCAGTGCTTCCTGGGGCTCTACATCAAGGTAGCGCGTCTACATTAGGGGAGCCTGGCTCGGACCCATTTCGAGGCTTCCTTGTAGGGTAGACGCACTCTTTCGAAATAGTGATGTTGGGAGTTATTATTCCACTAATTTCGAAATACCCTTGTAGTATAGACGGAGCGTTTGATGCTGGTGATGGGGGAGGGATCTGCTTTTATGGCAGAATTGGGGCTGTGGGTATTCAAGGTGTTGCCCTTCCGATGAACGAATTCCAGCCCAACCTTCATACCGTTTATTAACAAGGTGCCTCACAGATGGCAAACATCTGCCAGTGCCTGTAAAGACGACTCGACTCTTCGGAGTAGCTACTGGAAAGGTCTCTGGGTCCATGTGGCCCGGTGCTGTAAAGGCTGAGGGATCCCATTCTCACTGTCAGGGTCTCCCCACGCAAGATGGGGTGTGCAGAGTGCTCACACATAGGACACAGGGTGAGCAGTGGGTCGTTTGCTGGACTCCTTAGGACTAGCAAACAAATAAAAAGCTGGTTCATAAAGGAGTTTAGCGACATGGTGGCTGCCATGACAGGCCTGACAAAGAGGGGAAAATGGGACACGCCTATGAAAAATGGCTGTCAGAGCATAAAAGATCCTTTATTTAAAGAGACGATTTTAGTCAGCCCTGATTTTAACAAAGGGCTTGTGCTGCGCTCGGGGCGGCCCTAGACTAGCTGCTAGCAACTGGCACCCTAGGCGAACCATGCAATCGGCGCCCCCACCTCCAAGCCCTTCAATGATATTGCGCTACCATTTGGTGCCCCATTTAACTTGGCGCCCTAGGCGACTGCCTAGGGCGCCTATATGGACGGGCCGCCCCTGGCTGTGTTATTTCCCTAGGAGGGTGGGGAAGCAGTGGGATGGGTTCATGAGGGAGGTGGTAGAAAGTCTTTCTTAGAGGTTTTTAAGGCCCAGCCTAACAAAGCCCTGACTGTGTTACCCCCCTGGGGTCTGGATAACACTCAAAATGGCCTGACAGTGAAACCTCAGTCAAAAGAAAACAGATCCACCCCCTCCCTCAGAGTCTATCTCCTGTGAATCAGGCTGATAAAAGAAAACAGACTCAAATTCAAGGTGAAAACAAGAAGACACTGCATTAGGGATTTGCTACAGTATTAAGGGAAAAGCAGGGGAGAAACCCGATGCAAACTAATAATCTTTTAAGGAAACAGTGGAAGTGACCAGTAAAACCCTTAATGTCCCAACTGGCCACTCAGATGGACAGCACCCCCCACAGGCTGTGTCTGGACTTGTAAAACCTTCAGGGCGGGAAACCCCTGAGGTGAGTTTTGCCCCGTGAGCTCCTCAGTGGGGACCAGTTCTGAGGTAACTAAGAAAAGGCGGGAAATTCCGGTCTGTACCGGTTCTTGTTTATCACTCTGAGGTGGAGGGCCCCTCCCTGTCCTGAGGTCAGCTGGTAGACAGACTCCATGTTGTTTTTCACAAACAGCCTAGAAAAATCATTTAACATTATCAACTAAACATACAAAATTGTGGAATTGACATGAATACATAACTGATCACCATCACCAGTAGGTCAGCCTATAACTGGGATGATTTAGTCAGGGTCAATCCTGCTTTGGGCAGGGTTTTGGACTCGATGACTCCTGAGGTCTCTTCCTAGGAGTCTATGATCGCCAACTTTATACCCAACTGACATGTTTTTCTTTTCACAAAATGTGTCACTAAAACAATTTTTAAAATTCTAACTACAGCTCTGCTATTTGTATTTTCTGTACGAAAAAGGGCAAATATAATGACAACCTATAAAGAAAGGAAATAAGGACAACTCGGAGAATTACAGGCCACTCAGCTTAACTTCAGTATAAATTTACTATTGTCCTTGTTGGTTATAACACTTGATAGAATTCCCATTTTTAAAAACGTACTAAAACAAAAAGAAAATGGAGCAAATAATTACACAATCAAGTTGCAGACACCGAGGAAGTAACAGCCAGCATGAATTTATCGAGAACAAATTGGGTCAAACTAATGGTACTAACTCAATACCTTTCTTTGACAGAGTAACAAACTTTGTGCCTGAGGGGAAGGTGTAGGTGTGGTTCAAACCAGGATTAATCCTGGGCAGCCCTAAAGCCTGAGTCAGAAAAGAGGTCTCACTAAGTGGCCCTTTCTGTGCTGGAAATCTCTTAGTCAATGAATGCTGCCCACATTAGGGGGTAAACAGCTAGGCTGTGCCCCAGACAGAGCAAAGTCTAGGTCTGCCAGTGGAGGGTGCCACAACGAGACTGGTGATGGGCCCAAGGGTAGCTAGCAGCACTTTGTAGCAACGTTTTTCTGCACTAGATCATAGAGCTCTTTTGGATGTGGCATTTTCTCTCAACACTGCACATACGTCACCCCTCAATCTTCCTTTCAATAAGCCGAGTAGACTGAGGGCTAGCTGCCGTCACTTGGTCCCAGGGCTTGCAAAACAAAGTAACCTCACATAGTGTAGGGTCCACACCAACCTCTCCTTCTCTCTAGCCACAGCGCTTGGCCTCCTCACTTCATGTGGCAGTGAGTTCCACAGGGTAAATCTGCCAGGGAAGGAAATTTATTTTCTCCTTTTCAATCAGGGCCCCACTCTGGCTCTGAGGGGGTTGAATTAGGCCAGGCAGACCAAATTAAGCAGCAAATGAGGGAGAAATTTAGGTTAGGAGTAGGCCTCTAATTAGAAGCAAGCTCGTTTGAGAGGCACCAGGCAGGGCTTCCATCAAACCTAGTGAGTGGTACCAGGGAGTGCTGCTGGGGGAGGCGAGTCAGGGAAGGGAGACAGAAGGAGAGGCAGGAATCCTGAGACCTAGGAGAAGTAGGTCTGGAATGAGGGGTAGCAAGCTAGGGAGTGCTCTGGGAGTGAGAGCAGTGAGGTTAAGGAAGCTGCAGACTGGAGGGTTTGGGGTGGAAGCCAGGGGAGAGGCCAATGTTCCCCCGCCAGCTATTGCGGCCGGGGGCAGCCGACCGGGAGTGAGTGTGGGGAGAGAGCCAGGCGGTGACAAGATGCGTCCGCTGCACTGGGGCATTGGCCGCGCAGTGGGAACCCTCAGAGTGGCCAGTAGGCAGAGCTGGTGAGCGACGAGCCGAGTACCCCGCGGCAGTCTGCTGTAGGGGAGATTTCGTTCCCTTGTGTGGCCGGAAGCCTTGCCCGGAGCTGACAGCATGGCCCCTTTCCCTCCCACATTAACATCCGCTGTACTCAGGGTGGGAGACAGATCACACCAAGAGCTTGGCTTTATTAGATGTTCCCCAGTGGCCACCCGAGGGTCCGACAGAGACGTGGACCCTGGGGTGTCAGGGGAAAGTGGGGAGAGGGTCTTTTTGCTTCTCAGTGAGTGGCCATGTCAATGAGGGTTTGTTCTGTGCCTCCTGGCTGATTTTTCTGTGGGTCAGGGGACCACAACCTGAAAAAAGTTCCCCAGCCCTGCATTAGAGAGAGAACCCAGGAGTTCTGGTCCCTGAGCCACCCTCTCTAACCACTAGACACCACTCCCTAGCCAGAGCTGGGAGTGAACCCAGGAGTCCACTTGCCAGCCCCACACGGTGGTCCTAGGGGGCTGGTCTGAGAGCAAGCAGCACATCGGGGTGCAGACTGATGGTGGTCCATGGCGGGTGATGTGGGGGAGTGGAGATCCAGAGCATCCCATGTGTGGGAGGGGCTATTGCTTGGGGATGTGGGGGCTGGGGCAGACACTGGCAGAGTCGCTCTAGTCCGGGCCGGTCCCATCCCCACCCCTCGCGCTGTCCATCATCTCCTTGTACTGGCGCTTGAAGAAGCCGGCCTGGTAGGAAAGGGAGGGGGGAGATGGTCAGAGCCAGACAGACAGACACCCGCCTGGAGACAGAGAGATGGGATTTGGGAGCCTCCCTCTGCCCCTCTCCCCAGCTGGGAGAGAGACAGGGCCAGGCTGTGGGGAAGGGGTGAAAGCCCTGCCCCCCTCACCTTGTAGAGGGCTGCAGTGATGAGAGCCAGCAGGACCAGGCCTCCCACGCTGCTGCCCACAATGATGGGCAGGTAGTTATAGACCACGAGCTGCTGCACCATCGTCTGCACCTGCGGGGAGGAGCCGTGAGATGGGGACCCAGGACTCCTGCCAACATCTCCCATCTCTGCTCTAAACCCCCAGACTCCACTTCCTGCCAGAGCAGAGACAGGAGACCTGGCGCCCAGCTCTAACCACTAGCCCATGCTCTCTCTATCCCGGCATAGTCACTCTGGTACCTGGCGCTGGACAAATCCCTCCTTCTGGGTGTATTTCTTCTCCTCGTATTCAATCCGGGCCTCACTCACCAGGGTCACTTTCTGCTGCTGAGTCTGGAACAGAGAAACTCCCTGTCCCTGACCAGAAATGACACCGACCCGCCCAGAGCGTCACCCCAGGGGTCCCAGAGCAATCGACAGGCCGGTCGTACAGGAGCAATCCCTGGCCTTGAGATGCAGCTACCTCTGGGGAGGGCACCAGGGCAGTTCAAAGGGGAGTCTCCCGCCCGGCCAGGAGGCAGAGGCAGCTCTCGTACCTGGGAGACCCACTGGAAGCCGACGTTCCCTTTGATCATGAACTCCAGCGGCTGCTGCATTTCCAGCGAGGCGATTGTGCACCGGATCTTCTTACAGGTGGCCACAGAGCAGTCCTGGGGTGGAAGGATATCGCTGGGTGAGGCAGGGACGTGCAGGGACTTGGAATGGCCATGGTGGTGAGGGTCTGTCTGTAGCAGGAGGCTTTCCCCCAGCCCAGCCCCCCACTCGCTGTCTGTGTTTGTGCAGGGGAAAGGGGCTGCTGGTACCACACTGGCCTGAACTCACCAGCAGGGGGCGCTCGCTCATCAGCTTCACAAAGTCCTTGGAACCAGGTGTTCCGGCCTCATTGGTGCACTGAGCCAGCTGGGGCTAAGCCAGGAGAGAGACATGGAGTGAATGGGGGTGTGGAAATGGGGCTTTCACCCCAGCAGGGGGCGCTGTGGGGGCAAGGCAGGTATCACAGGGCCCATCTCACACACACAAGCCCAGGGAGAGGCAGGTACCTTGGAGGGGACGACCTCAGAGGCGTCCCACACACGGACCCCGCTCAGCTCCACGGGGAACTGGAACGTGACCGACAGGGGGACGCTTCGCTGCCGCAGGTTCTTCACCTGGAAGAAACAGACTCCCCCTAGGAACTGCAGGGAGAGAACCCGGCAGCTCTGACCCCCAGTGGCCCTACCCCATAGATCCCACTCCCCTCCCAGTGCTGGGGAGAGAACCCAGGAGTCCTGGCTCCCTGCCCCTTGCGTCTCCCCCATGCTCTAAATCACTAGATCCAGCTCAGGCATTTCCACTCCCGTCCCCTCCTTTGAGCCCCCCCACAACCCCCAGCTTCACCTCTCCCTCACACGCTGTGCGACCAGCCTCACCTCGTACCGATGTGTCACTGGTGCACTTGTCTCTGCCGCCTTGGCGGAGAAGTTGACGTACTTGGTCGACTCCTCGAGGCTGGGGGAGGAACGAGGGAGATGGGAGTGTGATGGGTGGAGCTGGAGGGTGGCAGTGGGTGTCATGTCCAGCAGGGGGCGCTGTGCAGCAGGGAACAGGAAGGGGCCCAACAGGGGGCTCTCTCCCAATGTCTCTGCACTGACCTACCTGCTGAGGATGATGAAGATGCCGTACTTGACCGGAAGCTCCGCCTGGTGAACCATGCGCTCAGTGACAGGGCCGCCGTTGTCACTGCGGGGAGGGGAAGGCAAAGAAGAGATGTGAGGAGATGCAGCCAGATAACCTGGCACGAAGGCTGCACTGTAACCCACTGCCCCTCACAATATTGCACTGCACTGCACTCCAAAGACCTATTCCTCTGCCCTGTACCACACCGCAATGCTCTGCATTAATTGCTTCTTCCCTGCACTGTAAGTCACTGTATTGCAAAACACACTACAGCTTTGGGTCCGCAGCACTCTCCTGCACTGCAGTGTATGTTACTTCACAGCACCATATTCCATCGCACTGTACCATAGACCATTGCCCTGGCCTGCAACATACATCACTGCACTGCCACAAGCACCACTGGCCAGGGATATTCATCACTGCCCCACGCTGGATGCAGCCTTTGTTATAGGACTGCACCTATTACACCTACATCACTGCCACTGCAGTGTATCATATGTCACTGCTCTGTTTCATAGCCCACAACACCACCTTGCAGTATAGGCAGTGAGCTGCGCCATACTCCACTGCACTGAAGTGCACCAGCTGTCAGTGCTGTGGATTATATACCATGGCATGACTCTGCAGGTTACATCCATGGGCTGCAACATGCTCCACTGCTTTGGGTACAGCTCAGTGCCCCACGCTGAAGTATAGGTCACTGCACTGTGTTATGCCCCCTTTCTTTGAGCACACAGCACTGCACAACACCTCTCAGTGTGCAGTAGCCAGCCTCTACTGCCATACACCAGTGCACGATGCACTCGGCTGTATCTGACTGCTCTGCCTGGCTTCATGGCATATGCCACTCTGCAGTGGCAGCCATCACCATGCTGCAATGAATACTCCGCCACTGAGGTGCACTGCCCTCCACTCAATGGCACTGTGACCCGCATCACTCCTCTGTTTGACACTGCCCCCTACCATTGCATTTCACCATGCCATGCACTGCACCATGCACAACACATCCCTGCATTGCCCTCACAGATCACTGCACTGCACTGCAGCATACAGCACTGCAATAGAACACTGCTGATTGCCTTTCACTGGATTCTGCACCATCACACCAACCTGTAACCTGCCCCATGTGTCCCGCATCACACATCAGTACACTGACCTATGCACCATTCCTCACTGCATGGCCTGATCCATTTACCCCTCTTCACAGTTTCCCACAATGCCCTTTGCGGCCTGCCCCCCTCACCTGCTGGCGCTGGCTGTCATCTGCAGCCTGTCCCCCAGGTCGGCCTCAGAGGAGACGTCAAAGGTGGCAAGGAAGACGGCCTGGGAAACACACGTGGGATAAGAGGGAGCCATGCCCCGGGGGACGGGCAGGAACAGGCTATTGGTAGAGCCTACCTCGGCTCCGCTCCAGAAGATGGGGGGGTTGATGTGGCAGGTGCTGTTCCTCTGAGTCTGCTCCTCTGAGCTCACGGCTGAACTGCACTTAATGGCCATGGTCCTCCTGTTAGACTGAGCACAGGGACCAGCCAGTGAGAGACAGGGTCCAGAGCGACCCCTGCTGGGACTTCTGTCTGATCCTTGCAGCACAGCGCCTCCTGCTGGGCCCCCTGCCTACTCCCTGCAGCACAGTACCCCCTGCTGATTCCCCCACCTGCTCCCTGCAGAACAGCACCGCCTGCTGGGCCCCTCCCTGCTTCCTGCAGCACAGCGCCCCCTTCTGGGTCCATGCCTGCTCCCTGCAGCACAGTACCCCCTGCTGATTCCCCCACCTGCTCCCTGCAGAACAGCACCGCCTGCTGGGCCCCTCCCTGCTTCCTGCACCACAGCACCTCCAGCTGAGTCCATGCCTGCTCCCTGCACCAGCTGATCACCCACACCCATACCCTGTATCCCGTCTCCCATGTCTGTGGTGTGGTACCTGGAGCAGCAGGACCCGGCGGTAGGACAGCGCGGCCGGGTAGAAGAACCGCACTGTGGTGCTGTAGGAATTCTCCCCGCGGTTCTGGATGGAAACGGTGATATTGAGTTCAGGCGTGGCGCCCACCACCAAGGTGCTCATGCTAAGGGGGAACACAAAGGGGCGAGTTTCCTTACAGCAGTGACCCAGCATTGCTGTGAGCTTCAATGGGGCAATGCCCAGCAGGGGAAACGAGTGCTGTGAGCTTCCCATAGCAATGCCCAACCAGGATCTCCACACAGCCCCTCATGCCACTGGGGGGCACTAAGGCAGGGTGTGAGCATCTGATACAAATTCCCAGCTGATGACTGAAGAGCTGCTCGCCTCCTGTATTGGTGCCCTGTCTAATGCCCCAGGAAATATGGGAAGGTCTGTAGCTGGGTGTTGCAGATCTGAGGCCTGATTAAGCCAGACAGTCCCCACTATGGAAGTTATTGTGAGTGCAAGGGGAAAAGGAGGGGGGAGGGGGCTTACCCTGAGAAATTGAAGGAAATGTGTAGTTCATCAGTGCAGACTTTATCGTCACCGCAGTCCTTCTCAAACGGGAGCTAGGGAGACATCCCGGGAGGCAGAGAGGGAGGGAAGGGAGCATGAGGTTAGAAGGGGACTGGAATAAACTCAGACGGCATTTTCACCCATCATATCATCTCAATTGTCACCATCACCACCAGCAATACAGTCTGAAACAACAGCGTTACCAAGAGCACCATGGCTGCATTCTCCCCCTACACTGTGACCTGCACCATTGCATTCCAACAGATCCACTATGCTTCAGCCACCACTGTCAACGAGTTCTCTACCATCTCAACCACAGCCAACATAAACTTCAAAACTCTCTGAAGTAACACTGTCCCTAGTGATATAAATGCAGGAGCCTCTGCCAATGCTAGCACCTCCACTACTGTCTCAACCATCGCCTTCACCGCTACCTCCGATACAGTGTCAACAAATCTGTTAAAATGACAGAATCTCTGCAACCTCAGTCACCAATGTAACCAACATCATTACAATAACACCATCCACCACTGTGAACCTAATCTGAAACAGCACTGTGTCAATGCAGCCATGATAACAACTAACACTCTATGAGCATTAAAATTTCATCTGTAATAATACATCAACGGAATCTAAAACAATAGTTACAGAACAACCTCAAACTGTCACCAACACCACTACAATCACTGTCACCCACTAGTACAGTGTGTAACAATACAGTAACAAATACAACCATTACAAACTCAACCAGTACTGTTATTAATACTACTACAATCTCCATACTATCACCACCATCACAAATGCAATCTGTACCAGACAGCATAAGAAAAAAACTAGACCAATCTGAATCAACACATAACCAAAACTATTACACTCTGCGATAGCTGAAGACTGATTGATCCAGGTGATCACACTCTGAACCAACATCACCCATACCACAATAACTACAGCCTCAGCCTGTAACCAAGGTCTCTACTAATCCAGCTAATTCAACCTCAATTTATACTATCACCAAAACCATTGCAGTCCTAACCACCAATGCAATTAATAACACAATCATTTCAACTTCACTCAGCACGGTCACCCACGTTACAAATTTACCCATCAACACAGAACATCAACACCGTAATCAAAACCAGAGTCACTACAACGTCACAAACACTGCAGCCTTACCAAGCCTACAGGCACCAGTATGGAGTCCTCGCTCAGGATGGGTCTGAGACCGTTGGTGTTAGCGATGGGCTCCCCCGTCAGGGTGTAGTTGAGGCGCAGAGTGATGGGGGTCAGGGTGTCCTCAGGGCAGAGCTGGGGAGACACGTAGGGACCCATGAGGAAAGGCGGATCCGGGAGAGGTTTGTTCACTGGGTGATTTGGCACAAGGGGCAGGGTTGCAGGGGCAGACACAGCAGGAGGGGGAGGAGCTGGGAACCCCCCACACAAACTCACAGGTAACATTATCGGGTATGTCTCACATCTCCGTTCAATGCCCAGTTTCAGCTCCCTGCTCAGGACGGGGCCGGTGGAGCCGAAGGCAGCTCGGATCTTCCTCCGCCCGGGGTCCAGGGCCAGGCTGTACTGGATGGTGCTGGAGATCCTGTTGCCTACGGGGGAGAGGAAATGCAGGACAGAGGCTGAGAGCAGGACGCTCAAGGGCAAATGGGACACGGGCCTGCGCTGGCTCCAATCCTGCTCCAAGACAGGGGACTAGGAGGTTGGGGAGTGGGAGAGAATTGGGGGGTAGGATTGGTCCAACCTAGGCTGTCCTTAGTGCTCTTCGTGACAGTGAAGCAGACCTCTGCCCCACTGGTCTCTGTGTTGAGCTGTTCCTGCTCCTGGCAGTCGAAGGCTGAGGTGTGGATCGTGGGGGGCTGAAAGCTGATGGACACCCCGACTCTGAGCACTGGCCGAGACCTGCCAGGTGGGGAACAGAACCATCATCCTGCCACTCCCTGCACTGGGGCTAGGCCCTGTCCCTCCCCTGAGCCTCCCAACCTGCCTGGACGTGCCTCCAGTAGGCAGAGAGACGGGCTATGGACACACATCACTGCCAGAGGAGATGCTGGAAGGCAGAGAAGGAGGCAGCCGCGCTGTTATCCTGCCCTTCTCCAGCAGGGGGTGACAGGCACCCACCCACCAGCCCATGTCCAGGCTCTGTCTGAGATTGCCCGGTGGGGCAGGGCCAGGACACAGAGGGACTCACCTCAGCAGCAGGACCTGCCCTTGTGCTCCCACCGCGATGTCCGGCAGCCCATCCCCCGTCAGGTCTGTCCCGCCACTGACGGCCTGGCCAAAGTAGTGCAGCCTGCTGGGGAACTGCGCCCCCTCTATGCGCTGTGGGGCAGAGAGAGCAGTCGGGGACGGGAAGGGGCAGCTGTTCTGTGTAACGGGCACTAGGGGGCAGGCGGCCAACAGAATTGCCTGGGCAAGGTGGAGGCGTGGCTCCGTGCCCTGCAAGGGGTGTGGCCTGGTGCGAAAGGGGCGGGGCTGGTGCAAGCCCCCTCCAGCCAGCCCTGCAGCGCTGCCCGGAGTTTGCTACCCAGGGTTCTGGCAGAGATTGAAAGGAGCCGATGCTCTGACTGCTGCTGCTGTATTGGCAGCGGTGGGTGGGAGCCCAGTGCCCTGTTAAATTGCCAGACCCCAGGGTAATTGCCCCCTCTCCGTCTCTCCCAGGCCTGCCAGAGGGGAGTGGAGGGTGAGGGAGGCCAATGGGTGGCTCTCCTACATTTTTCTCTGAAATAGATATTTTTAAATAAAATAAATCTAGAAAAACCAAACCAAACGTACCTAAACTTCTACTACAGGAACATCCCACCTATACCAATATGTCTGTATCCGGACCTATACTCTATCACTGGGGTGTATGGGGTCGCATGCTAGTATTGATTTTTACCTGCACCCAGCTCTCACCTGTGGCTCCACATAGTTGCTTTGCATGCAGCAACGGCCACACCCTGGGCAAGGGCTTTGACAGGCCAGCTAAACCAGGTGAGGGTAACTGATGGGACTGAAATCCTCAGGGAGTTAGAGACTTGCTCACCCCAGCATGCGAAGATGGCTTCGATGGATCAGATGGAGGAAATCCTTATGATTCAACGGCTGAGAAGGCATTGCAGCAGCGCACTGTGGAGTGCGTGGGGGAATGTCAGCGCATTTAAGGTGACGTGGCCATCCAATGCAGCCGAGATAGTCTCCAGAAGCAACGATTTTTTTCGTGCCACTGGATTCCGACTTCTGAGGCCGAGAGAGTGGGATCTTTTCTGTGAAAAGGCTTTCTCACTATGATAATATTTTTCATGCACAGGTTATGTTGTGCAAAAAAAGAAGAAGTTGGTAATGGGAGCATGGAATGTCTGTACGCTCACGGACCGTGAGGACACAGTAAGACCTCATTGGAGAACAGACCTAGTCGCTAAAGAGCTTTCACACTATGGTATTGATATCACTGCCTTGAGTGAAACCAGACTTGCTGAAGAAGGATTTCTCACTGAACTAACTAGTGGTTACACCTTCTTCTGGAAAGGGAAAGCGCAGAATGAGGATAGGATTCATGGAGTCGGTCTGGCCGTTAAGACTTGTCTGATGAAACAACTTTCGGACCTGCCTGTCGGTATTAACAAGAGGCTCATGAAGCTACGCCTACCCCTTAGTCACAAGTGGCATCCAATAGTCATCAGTGCATACACTCCCATCATGAACAGCACAGAGGAGACAACTGAACAGTTCTATATTGATCTCAGTTCCATTCTGTGCTCAGTGCCGGCCAACAACAAGTTGATCTTGTTGGGAGACTTCAATGCCCAAGTTGACTGCGACCACAGTCAATGGGAAGGAGTGTTAGGCAAACATGGTGTTGGTAAGATGAACAGCAATGGCTTATTACTGTTGAGCAAATGTGCAGAATATGACCTCCTCATCACAAACGCCGTGTTCAGGATGGCAAACAAATACAAGACTACTTGGATGCACCCTAGATCAAAACAATGGCACATAATAGATTTTGTCATTGTTCATCAGCGTGATATTCGAGATGTCCTTATCATCAGAGCCATACAAGGAGCAGAGTGCTGGACTGACCATAGGCTTGTCCGCACTATTTTCTAAATACACATCACTCAGCATCACCCAAAGCGCCTAAAGCTCATTCGAACAGCCTTTAACATTGCCAGACTCCAGCAGCCTTCTCATCTGCGTAAGTGCCAGTCAAGCCTTGATGAAAAGTTGACTGCCAATGGACCACTGATTGGAAGTCCAACCCAGAAGTGGAGCCAGTTTAGAGAAATGGTGATGGACACAGCGAAGTCAGTGCTGGAAAGACTTGTTTGATGAGAACAACAGTGCTATTGAGGACCTGCTTGCCAAGAAGAACAAGGCATTTATGGAGTGGCAGAATGACCCAGGCTCCATCTCTAAGAAAGACAGGTTTAAGTTCCTCCAGGCCCAGGCTCAACGAGAAATCTGCAAAATGCACGATCAGTGGTGAGAGAAGAAAGCTGAAGAGGTGCAACATTGTGCTGACTTAAACAACCTAAGGGAGTTCTTCAGCTCTATCAAGTCAGTCTTTGGTCCTTCCAAGTCTAGCTCTGCCCCCTTGTTGTCTGCAGACGGAGCCACGTTGATCAGGGATAAGGCTGGCATTAATAACCAGTGGAAAGAGTATTTTAGTCAACTCCTGAATCGTTCATCATCAGTCAGTCAGCCAGCACTGGAGAACAGATCCCTCAGAAACCAACCCAGAAGACCTGGGAGATCCTCCATTTATTGATGAAGTTAGAAAGGCCGTCAGGCAGATGAATTATGGCAAGGCATCCGGCAAGGATGGAATTCCTGCAGAACTGTACAAGGCATTTAATGAGGAGTCACTTAAGGTTTTTCATAATGTCTTGACCAGTATTTGGGAAGAGGAAGAAATGCCATCTGACCTCCGTGATGCCGTGATAGTTACTCTGTACAAAAATAAGGGTGTAAGAGCCAATTGCGGGAACTACAGCGCTGCTTTCCGTTGCTGGGAAAATCTTCGCCCGCATCATCCTGAACAGGCTGATTTCGACAGTTTCAGAAGTGAGTCTCCCAGAGTCACAATGTGGCTTCTGCCCTAATCTCAGTACTGTCAATATGATCTTCGTAATGAGACAGGTGCAAGAGAAGTGCCTTGAGCAGAATATGAACCTCTACTCTGTCTTCATTGATCTGATGAAGGCATTCGACACAGTTAACTGAGATGCATTGCGGCACATACTCAGGAAGCTGGGTTGCCCACCGAAGTTCATCTCACTCATCAAGCTGTTTCATGATGACTTGACAGGAGAGGTACTCTCGGCTGGTGTACCATCTGAGAAATTCAACATCTCCAATGGCGTGAAGCAGGGCTGTGTACTCGCCCCAGTGCTTTTTAACCTGTTCTTCACTCAAGGCCTCATGAATGTTATCAGAGACTTAGATCTTGGTATTTACATCAGATACCGTTTGGATGGTTCACTGTTTGATTTGAGACGCCTTACTACAAAGACCAAGACACTGGAGAGGCTTATCACCAAAGCGCAGTTTGCTGATGACTGCGCCCTTATGGCACACCAAGAGAACCACCTGCAGACCATCATTGACAGATTCTCTGAAGCATCTAAACTGTTCGGTCTCACAATTAGCCTCGGAAAGACAGAAGTCCTCTTCCAGCCCGCACCAAACAGTGCTCCTCCACAGCCATGTATCACTGTTGATGGTACACAACTGAAGGTAGTGGACAGCTTTAAGTACCTGGGCAGTACAATATCAAGTGATGGATCCCTTGACAAAGAGATTACAGCGAGGATCCAGTCAGGTACTTGGGAGATTGCGTATTAAAGTTCTTCAGCACAAAGATATTCGCCTGTCAACTAAACTCAAAGTATATGATGCCGTGGTCCTCACCTCTCTCCTGTATGGCTGTGAAACATGGACCCTGTAATGTAGGCACTTCAAGCGGATGGAGCAGTTCTACATGCGCTCCCTACGATCAATCATGCGAGTATGCTGGCAGGACCGAATTACTAACCAAGAAGTGCTTGATAGAACTAGTTCCACAAGCATCAAAGCCAAGATCCTCCAGATCCAGCTTCGAAGGTCTGGCCATGTTCTCCTCATGGATGAAAGCAGGATCCCAAGGCAGCTGTTCTACAGGGAGCTGGTACGTGGTAGTCGCAAACAGGGATGCCCAAAGAAGAGGTATAAGGATAATCTGAAGACCAACTTGCAGTGGACAGGCCTTCAATCTTGACAATTTGAACTAGCTGCTGCAGACAGGACTAACTGGCGTTCCCTTACGAGGAAAGCAGTGACAAAGTTTGAGGATGACCACTGCCAACGCCTCGCAGCTGCACGTGAAAGACGACATAGAGATGTGTTCTTTCCTGTCCTGACAACCAGTGTCCCATGCCCTATTTGTAGCCGCATGTGTGCTTCGACCTTTGGGCTCCCAAGCCACATGTGTTTCCACAAATGAAATGCACAATGTCTTCCTCGGCTCCCGAGAGACAACCACCAACAACTCTATCACTACAACTGTATCTTCTTGGACTGGTTAGAATATGGAGCAATGTCTCATATTCCATCATTTGGAAACAACCCAATTTTGCTTCTAAGAATCCATCGGAGTAAAGAAAAAATCTTAAAACAAGATTCAGGAAAATGTGTGTGTGGGGGGGGGTGGGGATAGAGCTGGAAAGAGAAGGAACTGGGCAGGTAAAGAGGCCTATTTCATAGGCTCATCCAGACGCATTTGGAAATCATGCCACAGCTTTGGGAAGCCCGTGGGTATGGTGGGTACCCCGGCCTCCCCAGTTCTTTCCAGGGTGGTCAGGCTCACAAGATCTAGACTATGCTCTAGCTGGTTGGTTGCTTTTTGGGTGGCCATTTTAGTAACACTAGCCCTGTAGACCTTCTCACAGCTTTTCAGGTGTGCCCAGCACATCACTATGTATTTACCTGGGAACACAATTGTCTGTTATGTAAATAATTCACTCGACAATGCAGTCCTGCTCTCACCCTGTGGGAACAGGAGCAGTCCCATGCCGGGGCAGTTGGACTGTGTAAGGGACAGGAGGGGGCAGCAGAGCGTAAGGGTTAGGAATCACAGCGAACTAGAACTGGAAAGGATTTTGAGAGCACATCAAGTCCAATGCAGAAAAAGGCCCTTTCACCAGACCAGGGACTTGAACCCTGGGCCCTCAGGCTACCAACTGAGCTAGCCAGGCTCACAATATGAAGAAAGGGGATTTGAACCCTAATTTCCCAGAACAACCCACATCACCCAACTACCCACGGCTGTCACCAAGGATGCCCCCGTAAAACATCCCATCAGGGCTGTGTGCTGATCCCACCTTGTCCTATGAACTGGTCTCACCTGTTTGTACTGGGGACTGAGGCCTCTCTTTTCCCCATGGAAGATGTACAAGGCCCCGTGATTGTCGTTCTCCGTGGGGGCCCCGATGGCCACGTCCGTCTGTCCGTCCCCGCTGATGTCCCCGATTTCAGACATACTGGCCCCAAAGTGCCCGAACGCCTGCCCCGTCTGGCCCTGTAGTGTGCTCCTATACTTCAGCGTCACCCCCTGCAGGCCAGATTCAAAGAGGCACATGGGGAATAGAGCAGCATTGACTGTGTGGGTGAGCGCCCCCTACTGAGCCTCTCCCAGCAACAGGGCACCCTCCAGCGCGGCACAGGGGCCAGCATGGACTGTCAAGCGAGCGCCCCCTCCACCGAGCCTCCCGCCTCTCTCACAGGAGCATGGTGTTCATTAGACAATCTTTGTATTAAGCAGCCACTGTTCTTGTCTGTCTGTCACGGGATTTTCAACTTACGACTCCTGTGCACGCGCCGACACGGCCTGGCTCTGTGCAGCGCCGCACGGAGAGAGGAGCAGAGACAGTGGGAGCTGAGCCCGCAGAGCACGGGGAGAGGGGAGGGGAAGGGGAAGGAGGAGGGCTGAGCCATCACAGCGCAGGGAGAGGAGACGGAGAGGGCTGAGCTCCCAGAGCACCAGGGTGGAAGCAGAGCTGCCCCCAAGACGGAATGGGCGGCTCTTGCCCGCTGCCCCCGAGCACCGGAAGGGCAACAACCTTGCAGATCTTAGTAGTGGAAACACACCACATTTAAGACCAAAAAGAATACATATAATCTTTTAAAAAAGACAATCTCTCTCAAAGCACACCAAAAGGGTAAACAGAGAGTTTTCAGCTAGAAATGTAGAAGAAAGATTGGACGGCTCACAGTTAGCAACTACCTTGAATCGTACTTAGCCATCGAATCTTTCTCCTACATTGGTAGCTGAATATGTTATCTTTAGTCTTTGGTGCGCATTTTTAAAAAGTTTTTAAAGTTTTATAGCTGTATTTTTTCACAATATCCCAGCCCCAGGGCTGCCCACGTAAAACACGACCCACAGCCCATCCGTCCTACCTGCCGGCTAACCGAGTACTCATAAACCCGCCCTCCATTCAGAGGTGTATAGAACGTAGGGGCTCCGATCAGAACCAGGTCCGTCTTCCCATCACTGTTGAGGTCCACAGTGCACAGCGAACCCCCGAAATATGAGCCAATCTGGAGGGGCAATGAAGTCACTCCATCTTAGTCACCTCCTCCATTTTCTTCCAACAGCATCCCAGCACCTGCCCCCATTCCCAGGTTCCATCCATCCTCTTCCCTCACCCCCCCTTTAGGCACAGCAGGTGGTGCCATTACTGTCAGTTTTCTGTCCACCGGGACATAGAAGCCAAGGTAGGCAGCATCTTGCTGAATGCACATTGTGGTGCATCTCTTTTTAGAGACTGTGCTTGCCCAAGTAGCACTATCTGCGCTCCTCTAAGTCACTGTTGTGAATCCTGCTCAGCTGGAATGCGTAGGCAGAAGATCTTGGAGAAGCAGACAGTGTTCATGGAGGTGCAATCCTGCTCAGACCCTGTGCCTATTGTCAGTAATGTTTTAACCCTGTCTTCGTTTCTTTCTGTTAGTCTGATGAGTTCTGTCTAAGGATTGGTCTAAGCTAACCAATTCGGCTGGTATAGCTACATTGCTCAGGGACAGGAAAATCCATCCGCCTGAGCAATACAAGTAAACTTACCTACCCTGTGGGGCAGCTGGTGCTAGATAGATGAGAATTCTCCTGTCGACCTAGCAACTGTCTCTTGGGTATGTCTACACTGCAAGAAATACTCCGAAATAGCTTATTTCCAAATAGCACGTCTACACTCCAGGGAAGCCTCAAAATGAGTCTGAGGCAGGATCCCCTAATATGGACACACAACCCCAATGTACAGCCCCAGGATTCATGAGGGAGGAATTTCTTTGAATGGCCAGGGGAGGAGCTATTTCAAAATAGCAGCAGTGGAGCGTCCACACTACAGCTATTTGGAAATAGCTATTTCGGAAGAGGCGTTATTCCTCGTGGAATGAGGTTTACAGAAGTCAGAATCAGCTGCCCGTTATTTCGAATTTATTCCTTGATAACGGAATTGCTGTGTAGACGCTCGCACTGTTATTCCGGAATAACGCTGCTGTGGGGATGCACCTTTGGGGAGGGAGATTACCTAGGCCAATGGGAGAAGCCTCCCGTTGGCAGAGGTATCCTCCTCACGGAAGGGTTCCACCTGCACAGCCTCAGCAGTGAGGAGTATTTGAGAGCAGACAAGGCCAGCTGAATATCAGGCACTGGGATGCTGGGGAGATGCCGACTCTCAGCTGCGGTGCAGTTCTCTAAACTCGTGAAAGTTTTCCCCTGCCTGAGTCCTCCTGACCCAATCACACTATAACAGGGTGTCAGAATGGTACAGGCTTCCTTCAACACCGGCTCCACCCTGTGTGTCATGCTCCCCATACCTGAGCTCCTTCCTTCGCCCAGCTGGCTGCCCATTGCCCGCCATTGGTATCTCGGCTGAACAGGACGACTTTGCCGACGTGCTGGTAGCGAGGGGCCCCGACAACGTAGCTGCTCTGCCCGTGGGTGGTGATGACCTGAGATGAATAACCTCAAAGGAAGAGAGGGACGCGGGGAGGTGAGATGGGAAACAGCCACAGGACAGTGCTCCACAGGGATCCCTTGCCCCGAATGGAGACGCAACCGTCACTTAGATGGGGCAGGGCCTGTGTGAGGTGGGGGGGATTGTATTCACTCCTTTCACTTTGTTATGTTGGGTGTGATTCCTACTGTCCTGTGCTGCTCTGTTGTGACCCCGTGTGTATGTGCCTCAGTTTCCCTGGGCCCTGCAGTGGAACACAGCTGGGGATAGGAATGTTGGGAGTGGCTCTTCCTGAATGGGAAGCCGGCCCTGACTGCCCCATCTTAGCATGTACCCAGTAATAGCTCAGACTGTCCTGTAACCTGAGCCTGGGTGAAGGAGCAACCAGGTGACACCTTGCCCAGGAATCTGAACAAAGGCGGGGGCGGGGCTGGAGGGCTGGGGCCAGTTGCTGGGTGGGAGAGTTACTCTGGGCTGGGGGAGGATGCAGGGAGGGGGACCAGGGTTCTGGCCCTGGGCCTCCCTCTCCCCAAGGTGGATTGTGCTGGCTGCTCCTGGTTCCCTTTGTTAGCAGCAAGTGGGTGCTACGCTGTGTCTCTGTCAATGAATAAACCTTCTGTGCGATTTGCTGGCAGAGAGATAGGTCTGGCTGCAGAGGGGGGTGCAGAGCCTGGGTTCTTACCCAGATAAGCATAATCCATGTCGCTGGAGGTTCTGGACACATTGATGAAGCTCGGCTCCCCACTGGTCCCATATGAATATATCCCACCGGACCAGTCGTAGGCTCCCACCGCTCCCAGCACCGGCCCCTCCTAAACCGACATGCACGGCAAAGAGAGGGATGACGGATAATGCGCTGCCCAGGAGAGATTCACGAGATCCCCGCACCATCTGCAGCACAGCACGGCTCAGCGCAGGACAGGGGACAGCGGGGATTGCTGGGGGGGAGAGAGCGCCCCCTACTGAGGCAACAAGGGAAAAGCAGCTCTCACGCCACTCCTGCAGGGGTCGCTGGGGCTTTCGAGTCACCCATGGGCAGCAGGGGGCCAGGAGATGCACAGGAGTGAGCAGGGCAGCAGAGCCAGCAGCTTTGCAGGCCCTAAACCAGGCTCAGGATCCTTAGGCTGAAAGATCCATCAGGGCAGAATGGGGCAGGCTCTAGGGCCGGGCGTCACTCACCGGGGACAGCAGGGAGCTGAATCCTGCCTGAGACATCTCCAGCTGGAAGGAGCTGCCGCTCTGGGATTGGGTGCCTGGGGGGATAGACAGCCAGACAGACACGGGAGAGACCATCATAGAGGGGAAAGGACCGGTGTCCCATTCCCTGCTCCCCAGAGCCAGCCCCTCCCCCCACCTTGAGGCTGGGTTCAATCCAGAGAGAAAAGAAGGTCGCTGTATCGCATCCCTCAGTCCTTTGAACCAGACAGGCCCCTGCCTGGGTGTCCCCGGATGGCAAATGTATCAGCAGTATTCATGGAGCAAGAGCAATAGGCAGATGTTGGATGGGGAAAGAGAGACAATATTGGTGCCTATTTGAGCTCTGGATTCCCAGCAGCCCCCTCCCACCTGGGCCTGGAGACACATCTCTAGAGCATCAGGGCCAGTGCGGCCCTGCCCTGACTCTGGTACCTTCGATGGCGAAGATCTTCTCCTGCAGCTGGCTCTGGATGCCCTGGAGGGCGTCGAAATTGTCCACCCGGAAGACGTGCTGGTCGGTGGGTTCAGAGGCGATCTCTCGGAGCTCCCTCTGGGCAGCATCGCTGGAGAAGGCATCGCCGACCTTTGTGTAATAAAGAAAGATGCAGGGGAGACCAGGGCATCAGTGTCAGTCACAGCCAAGAGCCCTGGGCACATACCCACCCATCTAACCCTGGCCTATGCCCCCTTGCAGCACCCTGCATTTCCAGCCCAGCCGAGTGGGCACGTGGACTGGATTCCCCGCCGGAGGGCGTCGAAATTGTCCACCCGGAAGACGTGCTGGTCGGTGGGTTCAGAGGCGATCTCTCGGAGCTCCCTCTGGGCAGCATCGCTGGAGAAGGCATCGCCGACCTTTGTGTAATAAAGAAAGATGCAGGGGAGACCAGGGCATCAGTGTCAGTCACAGCCAAGAGCCCTGGGCACATACCCACCCATCTAACCCTGGCCTATGCCCCCTTGCAGCATCCTGCATTTCCAGCCCAGCAGAGTGGGCACGTGGACTGGATTCTCCACTTTGGACTGGACAATGCTGCTCATCTTCACCAAGCATGAGTGTGCGGAGCCAGAATCTGTTCCTCAGTCAGGCTAGTGAAAGGCCGGCTCTGCGATAGCATCACTGGCCCAGCGCATTGTCCCAACGCCAGAATCTGTTCCTCAGTCAGGCTAGTGAAAGGCCGGCTCTGCGATATCATCACTGGCCCAGCGCCTTGTCCCAACGCTTGTGCCCTCCCATGCTTGAAGCAACCATCCTTCCCCCACCCTCGTTCCTAGCTTCAAACCCGCACCAGCTCTCCGCCCAGTCGTGGCTCACCCCAATGGCGTAGCGGGTGATCCCAGCTCTCTCCGCCTCTGGGATAACGGCTGAGTAAGGAAGTAGGTCATTTTTCTCCCCATCTGTGATCACAATGAGAATCTTGGTGGCTTCATCTCGAGTGCCGCTCCCAGAAGTGAACAGCTCCTGCCTGGAAATGGAGGGGACACATGGGCGGGTTATCGCTGCAGCTTCCTCTCCTCCTAACTTAAAGCAAGGTCGGGGTTTGGTTGTGCCAGGAAGATGGGAAGTGCCAGGAATGGGACTGTTTTCCATAACATGCAAAGGGAGGGGCTGCAGTTCAGAGGGATGTGATCTGAGAGTGGCCACTGGGGGCAGTGATTGCAAGGGAGAGCCATGATGTGGAGTGGCCACTGGGGGCAGCCGTACCACCAAGGTAAGTGGGGCCCTCCTGTCCAGGAGACAGCCTCTGCTGCCCCCCACCCCCACCCCGGAGGAACCAGGGGGAGGGAGAGATTCCCCCACTGGACTCTGGGGACAACCTGGAGGGTGGGGTGCGCAGTCCCTGCTGCCATGGGATGCCACCAGGCAGAAGTCAGCGGCCAACCCCACCTCCTACCGTGAGCCCCTCCTCAACCTCCAGCCCTCACTCACAGACCCTTCCATGACCTTGGCCTCCTGCCCGGAGCTCCCCACACCCCCAAGGCCCTGCTCTGACTCCTGCACACACACACACACCCCTACAGCACCAGCTCCCTGCCCTGAAGGACCAAGGCAATGACAGGTAAATGTTCTACTTGATACATAATAGCACCTAGGTCCCACCCCCTGTTTTGGCATTGCCATACACAAAGTCCTCGGTGTCCTTGTCTCCATTTTACCAATGGGGAAACTGAGGCACGAAGTGGAGCTGGCTTAAAGTAACACAGCAACAGAGGCTCAGTGCTGGCCATAGAACCCTGAAGTCCTTGCTCCCAGCTCTGCCCTAACCTACTAGTGCCCACACTCCTTCCTGAGTCAGGGACAGAGCCCACGCATCCTGATGCCCAGCCCATCCAGCTCTAACCACTAGTCCCCAGTCCCTCCCACAGCTGGGGAAAGAACCCAGGAGTCCTGAGTCTCTATATCTTAGCTTGCAAGTCATGGCAGCCCTTTCCCTATGGAGTTCGCACAGGGAGGGGGGGGCGATACCTACACCACTTTCTGGATGGCGGTGGCCGTGTGTGTCCATCTGCGAAGCTGCTCAACTCTCCGGATAAGATCGTCCGGGTCATGATTTCTGCTGTACTCCGTGAAGTCAAAGTGCTCTTTAAATGTATCAGAATACTGCATGAGCGCGAACTGCAAAGGGGGGCGGGGAGAGAGAGAAACAGCCCGAGGGGCGAAGGGTCAGAGAAGCAGGAATCAGACTCAGTTAAGGGCTGAGGCAGGCGTTCGGGGGTTCCTGGTTTTGGATGCAAAATTCATTGCAGCTCCCTGCAGCACAGCACCCCCTAGTGCTGCCCTGGGGCCAGCCCTGCCTGATAGGGGCAGGTAAATAGGCAGGGTTCTGCCTCTGCTTGTTACCTGCGTGTCGGTGCCATGGAAACGCTTCATGATCTCAGAGAGAAACGTCTTCATCTTTCTAAAGTCCACGGGTTTGATGCTGCCCGAGCCGTCGAAGAGGAGTGCGATGTCCATGGCCCGTTTCGGGCACTCTGAGGGGACGGGGAAGAAGAGCCGGTTGGATCTCTAGTGTCCAGACGTCCATTGTCCGGCCACACCTGTGATCCGGGATCCCGGTGGGTGCTCCCAAACTGGAGCACTGAGTGGCAAAAGCTGGGCCTGTGCCGCCTGACTTAACTCCACCAACACCCAGAAAACTCAGTGGAAAGAGCTAGACCAGATCGAAGATCCCGTCTGGCCCAGTCCCCCCCCACCCCTCACCTGGCTGTGTGTCCGGGATGCGCCGGAGCTGCCGGAGGTTCTGGTCCAGGAGGAAGCAGTAGCCATTGAGGTGCATGTTCTCCCCGCAGGCCCGGTGCACCGTGGGGCCGCAGGCCTGGGGCACGAGAGAGGGACGAGGTCACTGGGCGCCCCTAGGAGAGCACTGTGGGGGAGGGGAGTCTGTTCCCTCATGGGTACACAGGAACCAACCCTGCCTCTGCCCCTGGAGAGAACAGAACCTGGGACTCAGCACCCGTCTCCCAGAGAGCGGACAGGGGCCATCACCTGGCTACCATGCTCCCTGCTATGGATGTGCCCAGTTACTGTGACATCACTCAGATACCCCCATCTGTCACAATGTCATCACACAGTCACTGTGCCCATGGCAACATCACCAATTTACCCCCATCCCTCACAACATCACGTCTCATGTCACCTAATTATCTGCTTTCCCTCCTCCCCCCAGACAAACCCATTCCCGTCATCACAGTGATGTTATCTAGTTACCACCTTCTGCACAGCGTCCTGGCACAGTCATTCTAGCGGCTAGCACCTGCCTACACACGCACTGTTATTCACCCCTCGCCACGGTAACAAAGTCGTGTTCCGGTGAGATTGACAAGAGCGGACAGAGTCTGTAGTTGTGGTCAGATCATTCGCTCTGACAATAGGGGCCTGCCTGTGTCATCTGACAATGAATTTCCTGGCTCACACCCCCGTAATATCATCGCTCTGGGAGGTTGCACAGTTGTTCTGCACCACCGGGAGGTCGTCAGGTTGGTCCCTTCTCTACGATGTCCCTGCGCTGACATTTCAGCCCACACCCACTGCTGGGGGGAGGAAAACCACCCACAGCCCGAGCCGCTGCCCCCCTCTGGAGTACCCACCAGGAGCTGGGAGCCATGGGCAGCCAGGGACAGTCCGAGGGACATGTTCACCGCGTCCAGGGGCCCTGCGAGGGGAAACGCGCCAGCACCAGGGTAAGAAACCTTGCGGTTGGACGTGGTTAGCCCTGCACGTCTGAGTCATTTCACCCCACCCACCCCACCAGCTATCGCCCCACCGGGGGGGCAGTGAAGGCAAATTGTTTCAAATCCCCGCTCCCCCCTTGCCCTGCAGTTCCATGGTACTAGAACCCAGAAATCCTGCTTCCCAGCCTCCCCGCTCACCCCGCCAGAGCTTCCTCCCCTCCCAGGGCCTGGGATGGATCCCGGGTGCCCCAGCTCCCAGCCTGCCCGTGCTGCCCCACTGCACCCCACAGCGCAGGACCCTACTCTGGATGGGGATCTCCTGGCAGCGTTTGGTGCCCACGTCACACGTGTAGACTTTGCCGGTTTCATTCACGTTTCCCGTCTGCAGCGGGGCCCCGACAATCAGCCTGCAGGGAGAGAGCAAGGGGGGGGTCAGGGCCCCCCATCTCTCCTGGGAGGTGCAGCCCAGCCAGGCAGGTACCTCAGGGGCCGTGGTGCTGCAACAATGTCTAGGATGGGGGTGCTGAGCTGTGCCCCCCCTTACACCTGTCCATGCCCCTCCCTGCCCCCAGCTGGGGACAGATGGGGAGATCTGGGCCAGGGCCAGGCACAGAGCCCCAGGCAAGGGGCTGGCAGCAGCAGGGGGACCAGTAGTTGGGTCCCTGGGTCTGAGCACAGATCCTGGGGCTGGGAGCCCAGGCAGCAGGGGGGTCCCTGGCCATGGGCTGGTGGTGGGATACACCAGGCACATACACCAGGCACAAAATCAGGAGGTGCTGCAGCATCACCCCCATGATCCTACTTCCCGCACCTCTGCCAGAGCAGGGGCCGTGAGATCAATGGGCCCAGGGTGCCCTGACACCAGGAATATTCCTGGCCCAGAGCCAGGCTGCAGCCAAACTGGCCACCTTGTGCATCCCTCTCCTGTGCCTCCCCTGAGCCCCCTGCTACCTCCACTCAGCCCTCCCCCCATGCAGCCTCCCTTCCCGC